CTCTCTCTCTCTTCCGCTGGCCCCCCCACCAACTGGATGCAGACACATAGAGCCGTGCCCACACACACATATGAACAGTCCTCTCTTTGACAATCTCCTTTCCTTTCCCCCGATAGATATGTGAGAATATGTATAGTCTCCATGGTGTACTCCTCCCGCCTCCTTTCCTCACACCCTTACCCTCTTCTCCTTGTCCCTCCCTGTTTTGAGAATCCAAGGCACCTCTTTTCAACAGCCGCCCCGACCAAGAATGTGACACAAACTCCACCCACTGCCTTCTTCATGCTCCTTTCTTTATTGAAGATCGTCTGTCATGAACAGCACTCATACGACGACTGCAAATCCATTTGGTTGCAGTTGCTTTCTTGGCCCCTTGCACCCCCAAGACCAAATGACAGTCCCATCTGTTCCATAACCACCATGCCAATCAGTAATTGGTACAACAGATTATGAAACAACCATCAGCTTTAGACAAATGTCGCACAGCAGCATGAAGGTCAGCCATTAAACCCTGGTCAATCTTCTTCACACCTATCTATCACCTACTTACTTAGCACCTACTTAGAACCTACGTTGTGGATATGGCACAAAGTTACTTGTTGCTGAAACCGAGAACGAAATGAAGGAAAAGATACTGGCAAATGACAACAGCCATCCTGCTGCCCTTCTGTCATCGTCAACATTCAGCGGAGATTGAGGGCATACTCGCATTACAATTTTCTGGGATGAAGCTGACCGCGATTGTAGCCAGATGCGGACATATCTGACGGTGATTATGTCCAGAGATCGGCAGAAAAAGGAATAGAGTGAGTACGCCGTGAGACCTTTTGAGGAAGCTGACTATCTTCTCCTCGCTGGGATTCAATCAACCAACCAGGTCTTCTCTCTCACTGTACTCATTGCAACCACAAAGGAGGGAAAGAAATCTAGAGTGTCAATCACATGTACATAGTTTGTCTTCTGTCTCCCTAATCTCCTCATTTTGTACACATAAAAGGAGCAAAAGACATCCACAATGCAACTCACACGTACGTAGTTCGTCTTCTCTCCGCATATACTCCTCTTTGCACACGTAAAGGAGCGGAAGACATCTCCAGCGTTAATCACACATATGTAGTTTTCCTTTCCCCCCCCTCCCCTCCTCTACTCCTTGTTGCACGCATAAAGGAGCGAAAGACATCTCTAGTGTGAAGATGACACAGAATGTGTCTTCTCCTCTTTCCTTCTTCTACTCATTGCACATGTAAAGGATCACAACACATCTACAGTCCCGATCACACTTAATGCACTAGGTCTTCTCTCTCTCCCTACTCCTCCTTGCACACACAAAAGGATTGCAAGACATCTACAAAACACTTAACATAGTCGAAACACACAACTCCACCAAAAGCAGCCAAACAACTTCCTTTCCCCACCACAGGACACCTCTTCATATTCTCCTCTGCCTTTGCACGGTCCCCTGCCTCACGTGTATTTGCGTAACTACACCGCCTTGAATTCTCTACGCCTCTGCACAATTCCATGCTGTACGCAATTTGTCTTTCTGTTCGACTTGGCGCGGCTACGAGAGACGAATCGCTCACGAACCATCGTAAACCACCAGAGGCAATCTCCTTGTAGAATCATCAAGTTGCCATCAAGCTCCCCATTCCTTCTGTCAGTCCCCTTTCCCTCCTCTTCGTCCGCTTCTCCTTCTTCCACTCTGCCTATGTGCGCTTTGCCGACTCTTAACCGAATTAGTGCAATTTGGGCATGAAAATGCATGCGAAAGACCCGCTGCCACTCACTTACAGTTGGCCTTGACTGACAACTGGACAGCGGTGAGTCCTCACAGCCATATCCTGATCAACAAGAAGGACAACCTCTAGCGAGGGCAGGGCAATTTCGCAATATAGTACCAATCAATATGGACAGAAGAAGAGCCACAAAAGGCCAGCCAGCAGTCCATCACCGCCGACCTCCTTGGAGCTTTTCATCAACGATAGCTGAAGCCCAGAAATGCCGACATGCAAAAGAGCGCAGAAAACTCTCTTTCGACCTTTCGTTTTAGCTGCTGCAAGCCATCGCCGCTAACCTTGTGCAGATTTTCATGAACAATAGCTGAAGGCTATAAAAGCCGACATGCAAAAGAGTGCAGAAAACTTTCTTTCATTTTTTAATTTTAAATGGAGTCCGTAACTTCCTTGTTCGTCAAATGTTTGCCCGCACACGAAAAGTCAAAAGAGTAAACTTGACGAAAACGTGATCCATCGAGCCGAAACTACCGCGCCGCTAATCTCTTTTGCTTTTTTGTTCCCTCACCTCCTCGTTCGGTCAAGCGGTGTAGCTCTGACAGTTGTTTCAAACAGCAAAGCGGCGATGGTTCGATCATGTGCCGTTGCATTCTGCCTATGCCTCTGTTGTTTGGTTGGTGATATCTTTCTCTCAGGAGCAGATGCTATACTCCTGTACATCCAAACAGCACTCCAGAAGCAAAAGAACCTTGAAAGGTGTAGCTCTCTCTGCTGCAGTTCACAGTAATCCCGGCGGACTGGGCGAAAACCAACGACAGTTATTAAAAGCAGCAAAGCGACGATGGTTTCGACCATGTGCCATTGTGTTCAAACTACGCCTCTGTTGTTTGGGTGGTGAGATCTTTCTCTTCTGAGCCGATGCTACTCCTGTACATCGAAACAGCACTCCAAAAGCAAAGAACCTTGAAAGAGAGGTGGAGAAGTCATACCTGGTTTTTCAGAATCCCAGTCAACTTTGTCATTCAGAGATTCAGACGCCAATCCTCCTCCGTCACTCCGTGCAAAAACACAAAATCCTGAATTGGGCAAAACCAAATGTACAGCACTAAAGACCTACCAAGACTGCTATATACTATGTGGCAAACTGAAACTGGGAAAGAAAGGGCAACAAGAAAACAGAAATACCTGAAGACTGAAAAGCGCGTGCAACATAACTCTGTAGCAGGCACTGAGATTTCGCACGCTGTACTAATGCTGAAGATGGGATCAGTGGCATAATCAGACGCGGATCTTTTCGGACGGATCTGCCAATGGTTACAGCCACAGTCCAGAAGGGTCCGTCCAAGTTAGAAATGCAAGTTCAAACGCCACCGCCACTGCCACATCCATGGCCACAAGACGCAGAGGCGGATTACACGACATGCTAGTCCGTACAAAAAAAACACCTGTCTATCGAAATCTCACCTCGACTTGGATTGCCAACCCATGCGGCAGCAGCTGTCAGCTCCAGAGGCAGGGATATACGAGTATGTCCTTCATCGTCGCAACTGTCGTCGATATCCGTTCAGCACTATGGTGGCTGAACCACGCAAGGAACTAAGAATAGCAACCATCACACCCCGGATTCTGAGAGACTTCTGAGGGTGTACCTGTGCTTACACCGCAGCAGATTTGAGATATCGAGTGAACTACGGACAAGGACAAAACATACCCATCACACTAGGAGCTCCGCCACCAATGCCCATGGCAATAGAAGTCAACACCAAGGCCGCCACCAGACATCACGACTACCCCAACCACAACGTAGGAGCAATTCCACTGTGGCCTCCACTGCGTATATGCTGCTGTGGCTCCCGCTGTGTACAGCTGCTGCTGCTTCCTCAGCTGCAAACTGCAGAGGACAGACAGCCACAGGGGCGGCAATATACATAACAGCATAGGAGTCATCAAGGCAAGCACAATGCCACAACTGCTCTCGCTCGAACAGAGCAACAGATAGAACACGTTAAACCACCACCGGTACCTTTCCAAGCTATTTTGCCGAGATGAGCCGGGTAACGCGGGGGCCGAACGGGGGAGGGCCGCCATCAATAAATCGAATCGGCGGCCCGTTTTTGTTTCGGCCTTCTGAAACTGCCCGCAGCCGACATATGGGAAAGGTACTTAATACTTACTGGTGGTTTATCGGGCAGGAAGTTTACGCAACCTACTTCAACAAGAGTCAAGATCTGTACAGCTCCTCAAAGTGGTCTGCCAGTAGTGCTGATACCACGGCAGATGAAAGTTAGGTAAGAAGAGAACAAGGACATGGAGGATACCTAATCACCATGGATTGCAACATGAGTTGAATCTCGGCAACATAGATGGCGGGTGCACATTGCGGGAACGATGTTGTCGTGCAGATATATATATAGCAGTTGTCAAACCTCAACAGGAGTTGAATCTCTGCAACATAGAAGGCGGGTGGAACCGTCTGCAGCTTGCCAACACTTGTCAGGTAACTAGTTAGTAGTCACTCACTGTCACATGGGCCTGCCAAAGTTGAGTAGCTCCTCGGAATTCATTTCGCAGTCATTGCCGAGAGACGATGTGCTGAAAATGAACACGACATGATCGGGCCTGGCACTGACGATGCAGCCGACGCACACAGCCCAAGAGGAGATGATGCAGTGCAACACTTCGTGCATCCTCTTCTTGCTGTCTTACTACGCCATACTTCTCTTGTTACTCCACAGAAACGAGAGCCAAAGACAAACAGACAGTTACGCTTTTTCGAGCCACTCTTTCACCGGTCTAAATACCGAAGACCCGCAGAAGCGAGAGGCAGAGACGAGTGGTGGCCGGTTAGCATTTTTCAACCTGCCAACAGGTCCAGTAATTAAGCGAGAGACGGAGATGAGTGGGCGGGCGGTTAGCCCTTTCTCAAGCCGTCCACACTGACTCACAGGTCTAACAATCGCAGATTCGAGTTTTTCTTCAAGGCTTTCCAACAACAACTAGCTGGGAGATAAAAATGACAGAGGCGATCGAATGGAAGACAAAACCACCACTTGCACCTGCGATAACAGGGCCCCCTCCCTCCCTCCTACGCCATTCGACTGAGATGTCCTCCCAAGGGATGACTGAGCTACCACTTGCCGATTACATAAAAAGGCTCCACAGCAGCCCTCTTTCTCTGGAACGAGAAAATGCAGTGCTGAAGCAGAAGATTACTCATAGGAGGTGATCCTATCTACCGTGAAACCTCCACTTGCTTCTAGATTATGGGTGGCACTGATGAGTGAAAGGGAGGCTCTCTGTCAAGAACAAGCCGGTCACTGCCTGTGACTAGACGGCGACGGGCTCTAAGAATTGACGGAAAACAACAGAAGAACCGGCAATGCCTCTTGAAAGGGAGGCTCTCTGTCATCCACAGACGCAAGACCCCCTGTGAATAGAGCCACTAATATCGGCAGCTGCGCACTTTCTGAGACTACTAAATGCAACTAATTCTGGCTCTTCACACCAACAAGCTGGTCACTGCCTCCACTAAGAATGGAAATGCAGGAGTCTCCAGAAGAAACGGCGACTGCCTCTCCGAGGAGAGACTCAACGCTCTGCAAACAGCACATATGAACATGCACAGCCGGACACTTTCTGAAGCTACCAAACACACAGCTAATGCGCATTCTTGGCAACAAGCTGGCCTATTGCTTCATCAACGGAGAAATCCACGGAAGAAACGGAGGATCCCTCGTCGAGGGGAGCCGTGTGGCGAGTCGCCTGACGGAAAGTTCTGTGAAGGGTCCGCAGAGTTTGGACCACCTACTCCGTGGAGCTGAACGACACCATCAGTACTCCTAATGGAGCTTGCAAAGGCATCAAAATCCCGTGCACTGTTCTCGAGCAGCTCAAAATCCCGCACGGGATTGGCATCAGCAGTTCCTGAGTTCTCATCGCGAGGATGTACATTGAAAACACTGAAAAGCCGCCGCAACCTACCCCCAGAATTTTGTCTAGTCTCGTCTTCATACATTTTCACAATCCGCTCCAGAAATCGCACATCATCCCACTCGTCGCCCCACTCGTCGCTCCCGTCATTGCGGCGTCGAAGTGACAAAGTCTCCATCAACCGGCCGACTGCCCCAGCATCCCTTGCTGCCCCCGGAGAGTTCTGTCCTACAATTCTCTCCATGTTAATATCTGGAAAGTTGTTCAGGCCCATGGCCCTCAAGGAAATGCGCCGCTGTACCTCTTCCGCCTCCGCCATCGCCATTTCCATCCTACTCCTACCCTCTTCTTCCCTCTGGCCTGCTCCACCTGCATCACGTGCCAGGAACTGCTGGGGATGGGGATTGTGCCCACTCTGACTAGCCTGCTCCGCAGCCATGTCATCCACCACCCATGCTGGCAAGAATGAATCCCCTTCCTGCTCCTCTATTTGATGCTGCATCCGCACGCGGTTTGCAGCCACATTACGCCTTCCATTTCCTGCCTCCCCAGGCGACTGTGCGACCCACATGACCTGCCTGTCGCGCCCAAAGCTGTCGCTGCTCTGCGCCGACGGTTGTCTCCTCCCGCTTTCAACCTCATCACGTCTGTGAACAATCATCGCGTCCAACCAACTTCCCCGTCCATGAGTCCTTCCATAACCTCTTTGATCCCCTCTTCTTCCATCCGCTTGGGGAGCGGGTGTCGAGTAGTCCCTTCTTTGCAGAGTGATCGCATCAAGTAACCGGTTCACCCGACCGGATGGGGTTCTCCGCACCTCTGCATCGAACTCTTGCATCAACGCCGGAATATCACCTGCCACCGAAGGCAGGTCATCAGGAACCCCATCCTGGCCGCCTGTATGGCTGTGGCTTCGGAGTGCCGAGTCAAGACCCGTGACAGACAGAGGGATACCAAGTACGACATCTGGCTTGAGAGGCACACGGCATATCGGACAAGTAATATGCGTTGAAAGCCATGTGTCAATGCATTCAATATGGAAGGCATGCAGACACAAAGGCAGCTGCCGCAACTTCTCGTTATTTTGATACTCTGCAAGACAAACACAGCATCTGGAAGCACAAAAAACTTCCTTATGTCAGTCCCTGGATTCGATGTCCCCGTCCACCCCCTTCTACCCCCCTCGCCCCCCCTCGCCCCCCCCCACCCAATGAAACTAACAGGCGGCCGAAGGCCGAGTTATCTAGGCACAGAGAGACATGCGTCACCCTAAAATGATGTGCTCCATACGAACGGGCATACGAGCTCAGTTGGTACGAACGGGCCTACGAGCTCAGTTGGTACACCCATGAACCGTTGGAATACAGACCAAAGTTTGAATCCAGATGCAGTCAGACGAACAGAATAACATATATTTTATTTATTTTTATTATTATATTGTGAAATACCTAGGGCCGGTCAATATATCAAGGCCATCGCCGTTTTGGAAAGAGAGAAAAAAGAAGAAAGGCAGTAGGGGGGGAGGAAACGATGTGCTCCCACTATTGGTGGTCAGACCTCATCAGTTCCACACCTGCACGGCTTTCGCACAGACCTGGTCCACAAAGCAGACCAGGTTCATACCGGATCAGGCTCAGCAAGTAGAACCTGCACCTTCCATTTTTCTGATAAGAAACAGGATGAATGATCTCTTTCCTACATGCAAAACCTTCTCTGCCAAATGCCAGACGGAGGCGACCACAGATATATATACGACCACAGATATATATCGTCACAAACAGAACTGCCCGGTAAAACCGTAGGCAGAGAGAGAGAAGAGGACAACAAACGAGGGGCTGTGACAAACTGTTTCATCGGAGTTTCACCGACTCATCAGGAGGCTGAAATATATATATATCATCAAATAGAACTGCCCGGTAAACCGTAGGCAGAGAGGGAGAAGAGGACAACAAACGAGGGGCTGTGACAAACTGTTTCGTCGGAGTTTCACCGACTCATCAGG